AGTTCCTCATTCCTGGGGTGGCATCTTCACCTTGAAATTTTGGCAGAGTGACAAAGGGTTGGATGGAAATCTTGGCAGAGGAAAACACCCGCATATCAACCACAGTGCAGCCGTCACCTGCTTCGAGTTCAGCCTCACCTCCACTCTGTGGCTCTCGTGGTGATGTGACTCGGGGCAAAGAGCTTTAGGGCTCTGATGGGGGCAGGACATTCGTGGGGCTGTGTCAAGGCTAACGGAGGGGCTCTGTGCCCAAGAAATCACCCTGACTTTTCTTTTTCTACATTACAGCACTACCTGCAGAGTCCTGCAATGGAGATGAGAACAAAACTTGAGACTTAGAGGCTCTTGGGAGCAGGCGCTCAGCCCTGGATGTGGACAGGAAACAGCAGCTCTGCAAAATGAGAACAAGGGGAGCACCGGGCTGGCCTGTCAGCTGATCGAGTCTCCAGAATGTCCTTCTGAATCTCTGGTTGGTGGTAGCAGCACGAGGTCTGCCAGGCAGAGGGCATCCGGCGGAAAATTCCCAGCTCCAGTCACCTTAATGAGAGAGGTATTCTTGCCTCTCCTGTGGCTTGGAGGTTTCCAGGGAGAAATGGAAAACGAAAAGCGAGTACTTCAGTCCCCTGCTTTGGCCTGGATGGCAGTGTGTGTGACAGGAGCTGGGTGGAGATGGGTGACCCAGATAACCCTGGTCTGAATTTATAAGCATCAAAAATCTCGGAACAGATTCAGCCCACCCACTCTCAGCTCTCCCCATAGAAAATGTGTGTCTGTGTATGATGCTGACAGTCACCTCACAAAGGTGAACTGGAAGAAAAAGTCCATCAAGCTATATGTCTTAGATTAAAAAAAAAAAAAAGAACTCTGATGCACAACTGTTAGCTTAATTACAACAAATTAATTTTCTCCAGTGGGCTAACTGAAATTCTTGCTGCTGGAAGGAAAAAATAAAGCCCCTGGCGTTCATGCATTCATTCAAGAATCATTTCATGAGTCTCTGCTATATGCTGGCGCTGCACTAGCTGCTCAGGAATGGTGATAAAGACGACAGCTCTTGTCTTCGTGGAGCTCATGATATAACGATGAGCTACATAAGCTGGCATGATCTAGAAACCACGGAGCAGAAAGCCGCTGACAGTGGGTGGGGGAGTGGGGTGCCCAGGAAACCCCACAGAGAAGTCATGTTTGAGCTGAACTCTAAAGATCGCAAGCTCTCCAACTGAGTGGCACAGAGGCGGTGGGGACTGAGGAACGGAGCAGGCAGAGGGCCATGCTCGGGGCTGGGCTTTCTCCCAGCCAGCGAGGGGTGTTAGGTAGGAAAGGACAAGGTCAGACTTCATTTGAGAAGGAAACGCTTGTGGTGGGGAGGAGAATGTTAATAATTTACAGTGTGCTGAGTGGAAATTTATTAGGAAATGGTTTGCCTTCTTAATCAGTTGTTTTGCTTATTCTCAGTCCCTGGTTACTGATAGAACCAAACAGCCGAGGAAACTCACTTGCCCCCCTTCTGGTGGGTTCCCACTCAGCCTTGACTTTGGAAGTCAAATGATGGTGCGGCTGGGGTCCCAAGGGAGATCCACAGAGCACACTTCTCCTAAGACTTTATTGGACTCCCAATTACACCTTTTCTTTTGGGGTCTGTCAGGGCTAGCGTGGAAGAATTCTACCTGTCACACAGGCTGGCAGTCCTCTGGGAAGGAGTGCCTGACACACTGTGCAGGGCTGAGCCCTCCGGGGCCCCTTCCTCCCACATCCATCAACTAACCCTAAGACTCCAGGACAGGCAGGGGAGGTCTCTGGGTGTGAGGAGTGAAGCCAGAGCGCCATTCATCTCCAATGGCCTTTGTGTCTAGGGCAGGGTTTCCCGGCCTTGGCATCACTGATATTTGGGGTCAGAGGATTCTCCATTGTGGGGGCTGTCCTGGACAATGTAGGGTGTTTACCAGTCTCCCTGGCCTCTCCTCACTAGTTGCCAGTAGCATCCTCAAGTTCTGACACCCAAAAATATCTCCAGACTTTGGAAGCATCCTCTGGGGCAGGCAAGCTGACTCCTGGCCGGGAACTACTGCTCTAGAGGACAGTCTCCCCCTCTGTCCGTGATGCCTCACTCCATCTCCTAGCAGCCTTCAGCACAACTGATCACTCTCTTGTTCTGGGAACGTGCATTCCTTGGCACAGTCTCCTTATTTTCTTTCTAACTCTCTGAACAATTCTTTGTAGATTCATAAGGACTGCCCATCCTCTTCCTTGTCTCTAGATGCTGCCATCCCTTCATGCACAGACCTGAACCCCTTTCCGTTATATTTTATGCTTCTTCCCTTTCATCTATCCTCAGGATTTTAAACATCTATTTGCTAGATTCTCCCAAATGTGCCTTCCCCCAGATCTCTCACCTAAGCTGGAGACTAGTTTCTATTTGTTCTAGATGTCTCACTAGAGTCACACACACAAAAAGAGAGGGTATCATCCATTGTTCTCCAAGATCCATTCCTTTTCGCACCCCTGTCTATCCATTGTCTGCGCATAAACCTTCTGGTCACCCTGACTCTTCCTCTTCTCTTCTCTTCATGCCCAGTCCACGGCCAATCCCTGTCAACTCTACCTTCAAAATACACCTCGAAGCCACCTGCTCCCAGCCCTCCTGTTCAAGCCACCATGTAACCTTAATAACAATAATGTAGACAATGCCAATGACCTCAGTGGTTTCCTGAGTTCCATTCTGTTTCCTTCCCGTCCATAATCCATTCAGAGCAATCTTTTAAAAGCATAGATCAGACCATATGATGCCCCAGCTTTAATTTCTTTAAAGGCATTCTACTGCACTTGAATAAAACCTAAGTGCACCAGCATGGCCCCAGCCTCCTTTCCAACCTCTTTTGTGCCATTCTTCCTTTTGTTTTTGCTGCCACCGCCATGCTAACCTGCTTTTGCTTTTGAATACGTGTCACGGAGGTTCCCACATATGCTGTTACCTCCAGTGGGACACAACCCCTCAGCTCTTCTCATCCTGCGTGTCACTTCTTCCAGAACATCTTTCCCGATCCCATCTCTTTATTTCAGGTTCTCTGTCGCGGTCTTTCCCGGCATGCTTCCTGAGGGCCCCTGTGCCTTTTAACTCCACATGTGCTCATGTGATGATTTCTCCCTCTGTTTATTGTTTGGCTCCTCTGCATGATCGGAAGTGTCCTGAGAGAAGGGACGCTCAGTGTCTCCTCTGCTCACTGCCACGTCCCCATCGTAAGACCGTATGTGATGCTCAGTGAGTGCTCAGTGAATATTTCCTGGATGAATGACTGTTCATTTCTCATTTCCTTGGCCGAACTGCATCCATTAAAGAATAGTTTATGACCCGAGGAAGTGAATGACTTTGAAGCATGAAGAAAAAGCTCTTCAAACGTCTGGAAATGAAGACGCTTGCTAACAGTGGTTCTTGGGAGCACAAAGCAAGGGTGGGAGTCGGGCACCCGCTGCCTAGAAATGAACTTGTTTCCATCATTAGTAACCAGTGATCCACACTTGTCCTGAGACTTTCCACTGAATCAGGAGGGCACTGTCCGAGCACCAGGCAGGCACACACCAAAGCAATCCAAGCAGAGGAGCTCAAATTAGTCCAGAGTTTTCTTGGCAACACTACCTTCCTTCCTGGAATGCCTGAGTTCCCAAAGAGGCCCGGACGTCCAGGTAGGGCCGCAGCCTCCACCTCCAGGCCCAAGAACCACAGAAAGATGGAATAACAGCTTCAGCCAACATGTTGCGTGATGCTCGGCACACCGTCAAAGCCCCGTAAGTACTGGTGGACCTGATATGAGACCTCAGCAGTACTTCCTCCTTGGACTGGACACGGGGAGGCTAGGTTTTTCTCTCTCTTCGGCACATCCTCCACTACGCAGACAGTGTTTCACTGCTTTCTCTGTAAATTCTTGAGTATGCTTGGCTGCAGAGTGTAGTGTAAACTGATGATGTTCAAAAGCTGAGCCTTTGTGTTGAACCACGAGTAATTCATATCAGCTTCTCTGGGTCTTTGAAGGGAGAGCAGCTGCAGAGCACACGCCAGCAATTAAGCAGCTCAGCGTCTGCTAAGATCAGGTTAGATTTTTATCAAATGAATCCCAAAATGTAGAGGCAAAAAAAAAAAAAAATCTGAGGCACACTGGGAGCCCAGTTGTGTAATGGTGGAATTCATTTTCAACGGGCTTATTTATCACATCTTAAATCAGCCTTAATGACTCTGAGAGAAGAGTTTCAAGGTCCATGAGTTACAGCTTGCTAGAGCCCTGAGTCCAAACATACTGCGATTGGCTGCATGATGCTGAACAACAAAAATAGCCGTGCATCTGCTTTGTCGCAGGGCTGGGACATTACTTACAAGGGGGTCACTCAAGTTCCATCAGCAGCCATTCGCAAAACATGAACGGGATATAAATGGTGACCTGCACCAACAGTAAAGTAAAAAAGCAGTGGAGTCTGCTAAGGTAGAAGCTGTAGAGAAAGACACTGTCTTAAATTTACTCTCAGTCAACATGGAGAAAGAAGCTGTCACGAAGGCCCTTCCTGGTTTGAGAGAAAGGTTCCATGCTGAAGAGCTGTCCAGGTTTCCATATCCCCCCAGAGAGGGCTGATTGAGCATTTTCTTTGTGTCAGACCCCAAACACAGTTCCTGCCCTCACGGAGCATGCAGCCAGGGAGGCACGCTGTGCAGAGGCCTGGCAAAACAGGAAGCCAGAGAGGCCAGTGTGTTGAATGGTTTCATCTTGTGGATATTTTGCTGCACAGCGGAAGACTAAATGGAAATTGTGTGGCAACCAGGGCCCCCTGATGGGCCCTGAGGAGTAGGGACTTCGTTTTGAGACGCGAAGTAAAGAACCCAGCAAGATGTGAAACCAAATCGAATCCACACAAAGAGAGATGGGAGTCTCTCAGGTTAGGATGTACTTAACAAGAAGTGTTTGTTGAGTCAAATGAATGAATGTCTTCCACAGGCCACCCGGTCTGCTGCTTACCTCAGACTCTTTGTAGTAACGTTCTGGAATTTCATCGCAGGCAATATCAATAAAGCAAACTTCTCTCTCTAGGTCTTTGGCTTCATTGTCAAAAATCTGAAAGAGCAGAGCAACATAGCAAAGGTTAGTGACGCCAGGTAATAGTTCAAGGGGCCCGAGGCAGAATACCACCACAGGGCATCTTCCCGTGGCTCAGGGCCCCTGGCCAGCGCTCTCTGCCTGCCTGAATGTGCAGGAATCATGACAGGCATTCATCGCTTATGTTTTGGCACAGCAGAGGCAGGTGTAGCATCGATCACCGCCTGGTGAGGGGCAGAAGAAAAAGTGGGCTGTTTTTAGAAATTTAAGAGGGAAGAAATCAGTCTCTTCCAGAAGTCTTTGAAAAATGCTGTCTGCCGTTTTTTTGGCAATTAGTCTGAACAGGGGGAACAAAGAGGCTAGAAAGGGTCTGGCTAGAGATGAGATAAAAAGCAGGAATATAGTCCAAGATTTAGAGAAGGAAAATGTGGGGCTATTTTTCACTAAAATTTTTATATATATATATATAATTTCATAAATAATGTATGCTTACTGTAGAAAACACAGATACACAAAACGAAGGAATTGAAGACTGGTTACATTTCCACTACTCAGGGATAAACATATATCTTTTTCTTGATCATTTAAGAGCATGGTTTCCTTGGTACACATGGGGGTAAAGAAGGTAGAGCTTGGAAAGATCCTGCGATGGCTTCCTGCCAGCCTACTCTAGGCTCACTGGCCCAGAATGTCCATCACATGCAAAGAAATATGGCAGACAGCCATATATATAGGTATAAATTTGGATGGAAAGATTAAGTGTCTCTAGTCTTTCCCACTGCCATTCTTCTGCTGGAAAGAGAGAATCTTCCCAGCCTTTCTGAACGATGGTAAACAGCTTAAGTTTGCAAACCACTCCATCCTTGGAGGAAGTCTTAACTTCTCCTTATCTCACCGTTTGGCGCACTCCTGCAGGGGAATCATCTGTTAACAGTAATTAAACCTGACTCTTCAGAAGAGAAGGAAATATTTTGGAAGAACAGAGTGGTTGATGCCTAAGAACACTGTCTTGACACAAATTTGGTGTCTATTAATAACCTGATCTCCCACAGAAGAGCATCTGTGTAAAAGAAAGGAGGGCCCTTCCCCTGGTTTGATTCTCAAGTTGAAACTATTTGTCCTTTCCCAATGCTTTATGAACAATATTTGGGCTGGTAATGATCCCCCAAGTTTGCTATTTGCTCTGTTGCCTATTTCCTTCTAAAACAGTTGGAAGCTGGACAGTTCAGATTTGTCCAAGGAGATGAACTCCTAGTCTGACCTGAGGTGGCCACTACATTTTCCTTAGAGGCAGAGAAAGACTCAGCTCTGATTCCTTCTACTGCCACTTGAAGTCCAGGGCTTGGAACACTCCTGAAGTGTTTGGGACGGGCAGGTGGACTGCTCTGACATGGAACAGAGAGAAGGTGTGGAAACAAGTTCAAGTCTGAGTGGGGAAATAAGCTGTGACACAAGCGACTGGGTCGCAGGCTGTTTGTGTGAACGCTTTCTCAATCTCTCTTCGCGCGAGGCTCATTTAAGTGTGTGCCAAGAGTGGAAAGACACATGCCTCATTAAGAAAACAAAACAAAACGGAACACCCCTGAGGGAAACAAGCTTCCAGAGAGTAAATTACAAAGGAAGTTAGAGAGGTTTGACATTTATTGGTGGTAAAATTTATGGGAATGAAAGAAGGGGAAGTAAACAGGGGTTAAGAGAGTTATTAACAGATTAGGTAGCTTTTCCTAATTTAATCCAAACATTTTTAATCACCGATTATACTAGTTATCACATTATTGTCCCTCAGCTCCAAATTCACCCTTTAGTCGTCTCTGATCTGAGGTAACAGACTGGAGCCTGCAAACACTTCTCCCGGACCTCAAGTGCGACACTAAGTTTAGTACTGGAAGGCCCTGCAGGAGGAAGGCGGCTTCTCTTCCCGGTTTGGATCTTACTCCCGTGGCAGAGTCTGTCAGTGGGGACGTTGAGTGTTGCCCTGTCGCAGCTGCATGCTCAGAGGGCATAGTGGCTTGGTGTCCCTGCAGCCCTGGCCTTCACCGGGGCCCTCCTGCTGTAGGCACCCCGTGCTGCAGGCCCTGCGTGGGCAGTGGTGCCCTGACCCTACACACCTGCCCACGAGTCTCATCTCACCTGTGCCCAGAGGGCTGCTGTCTGCTGCCCAGGAACTGTGCACCAGTCCTGGTCCAGGAAACCCAGGAAACTTCTCCACCATCCAGGGGGCTATAACCACAACTTCTCTAATGAAGTCTGAGCCCCAGCCATGGAGAGGGGTCCCTTCCAAGTTTGTTCTTCCTCGCATGTTCCCTGTCAGCCTCAGGCACCCTTTGGAGTTCTCCTTACATCTTTATAGGTCCTCCTTTCAAAGTTTAGTAAGTCCTCATATTACACATCCCCCCCATTCACATTATTGTGCAGTTTATGCCTCCTGATTGGGCCCTGACTGACACACCCATACAAAGAGCTGTCTTTGCTTTGGTGGCTACAAAGATAAGGAGGGCTGTTCCTGCCCTTAAGGAATTACTGTCAAGGGGGAGAGAGAGAGAGAGACTAGGAAGGGGGCTATAACCACAACTTCTCTAATGAAGTCTGAGCCCCAGCCATGGAGAGGGGTCCCTTCCAAGTTTGTTCTTCCTCGCATGTTCCCTGTCAGCCTCAGGCACCCTTTGGAGTTCTCCTTACATCTTTATAGGTCCTCCTTTCAAAGTTTAGTAAGTCCTCATATTACACATTGCCCCGTTCACATTATTGTGCAGTTTATGCCTCCTGATTGGGCCCTGACTGACACACCCATACAAAGAGCTGTCTTTGCTTTGGTGGCTACAAAGATAAGGAGGGCTGTTCCTGCCCTTAAGGAATTACTATCAAGGGGGAGAGAGAGAGAGAGAGACTAGGAAGCTATTCCCCAAAATATTCCTAAAAATAAAATGTTTGCTACAATCAAATATTTGCTACAAAAGTAAGAATAGACTGTAAAGCCAAGGAGAGGAGTCACTTATGTTGACTTACCAGCTACATATAAGGACAGTCAGATGAGAAAACCAAGGCTCAAAGAAGTAAAGAGCTTTGACTGAGGTCGCACAGCCTGTCAGTAGGGAAGAAGCTCAGATTCAGGGCAAGTCTCCAGCTTTCACAACCAGCCTTGTCCTGTGATAAAAGTCTGCCTCTTGGCACTCAACTGAGAAGATAAATATCCATTAAAAGTGCTTCCTGTTTCTTTCCAGAAAGTGGAACCTCGTTCTCCTGCTAGTTATGAAATGTACATCCTGAGTGACTACTGCTGGGAGCTCCCCACAGACTTGGAACTTCTCTCCTCTGTTGAATGGCTGAGGCTGCAGGAGAATCTGCTCAGGCACCCCTCGGTTCAATCTCTGGTCTCCTTCGTTAACAGGACAACAGATTCTCGCACGGAAGTCCAGGAAATACTAAGCGCCTTTGCAGTAAACATTTCAGGTGGGATTCCCGCCACCTAATCAAAGCCACAGAAAACCACTTTGAGGACTTCAACATCCTCTTCAGGCTTGAGATTGCGAGTCCTAATTTCCAAGAAATAATTAATCTCCCAAAGATTCCTAGGAGATGCTCTTAGGTGCTCAATAAGTGCCTGCTGAATTAACGGAAGGCATTAGCTTCTACCTTCCAGAGAGGACTCCGTGGTGGACTATTGCCTACTAGTTGATCTCAGCTTTCTTTCAAGAGCCGAAGTTCTAGTTTTTTGGTGGTAAGTACCCTGACTTGCCACAATTCCCGATGTGGGGTTCAACAGAGAGTGGAAACCTCATAGTACTGGCTGACAGGTCCTGCCCTGGGAATCAGGAGAGCCGAGCATGCATTTGTCACCGCCTGTGTGTGACCCTGGGCAAGACTCTGCCCCTCCTTTGGGTCCCCATCTCATCTGCAAAATAAAAGGCCTAGTCTCGATGGATGGGTATCAGGGAGTTGTGGAGCACCCTGGAATTGTACCCAAAATGTGGGGAGGGCATTTTCCTGGAGTGAGGGATTGACCACTTTCATCTATTATCAGAGAGATCTGTGGCCTCAGTGAGGCTGAGGTCAAGTGACCCAGATGACCACTAAAATTCTTTCCAGTTAAATGTCTGTGATGTTGAGTAACCTCTGCATCATGTTAATGTCTTCCATCTTGCTCTTTGGCTCATTTCTTCTCTGCCCCGTCACCTCCAGCCAGCCATCTTGGGTGGTACACAGAGGGGCTGCAGCAGAGAGAACAGAGAGCAGCGATGGTCATGGTGTAATCGGAGGCCAGAGCTGGGGTGAAACAGTCCAGTCTTTGGGCTTAGTTTAGGGTGTGATCCAGAATTAAACCAACACTGTTAGAGCCTTAGCCAGGCTGTGAAGGGGAACAGCAAGAAGAGTGACTATTCATTTGCGCTTCTCCAGCGGCAGTGGCAGCCGCTGTAAACTCTGGTCCGAGCACCAGCTCAGAGTAAGAGATCCGCTGATGCTCTGCCAGGATTGCACCTGATGCAGGTTCTGTGCACGTTTGCGCTCTTGGGACCTTCTTGGAAAGAATTTGTCTCCTTCGGAGATGGGAAGTGGGTTTGGGAGTGAACTGTGGTACTTTCCCTACATGCCCTGTAATAACATTCTCGTCTTTGGTTATTTATCAGAGACTTGCTCACCCACTGCAGTGGTCATCTGCAGTGGATTTCAGTGCCAATCTAGTGGACTCTCCTTACCATCCCCCACCCAACTAGACAATGAACCGTCAATAAACTCCTTGTAATATGAACTGAGCAATACTACAATGAGAAGGCAGATCTCCCAAGTAAACACTGTCTTATGGATTCCAAAATAAAAAGGCAGTAACTTCCCATTTTTTGTAAATTACTATGAATGTTAAGTATCAAGCATCTTTAAAATATTCATAGACTTTGACCTAGTAAGCTTAAGCTTTGAGAATTTATCTTAAGGATCCTAAATAAGGGAAAAGCTTTACCCACAAAGGTTTTCATCACAACATTATTGTAATGGCAAGAAAAAAAGAGAGAGAGAAAGCAAAC